GTTATCGTTTTGAAAGGAAGATCGATTTTGTGCGGAAGCGAAGCGGTTAGTTTTGGTCTGAACTCGTCAACGCAGCCACGCCAACCGGTGAAATTGTTCACCTCCAAAGTGACGGAATTGGAACAGAAAAATAATTTGGGAAAGAATATAATTCATTAATAATAATAGTAATAATTAATTTTAAAATCAATATTCATTTATAAGAGTTCCACATGAAAGGAAGATTTTCTTGGCGTGCTGCAGTTCCATGTAAGTAAATCATTTTATACGTATTATCTCTTTATCATATAATCAAATTTATCATTGTATTTAGTATTTCTTTAGAGATTTATTTTTGAGTTCCGAAATAATTTAAATATAAAATTTCCTTGATTTACTTGCAAAGAACAGAAGGTCATTTTTTTTATATAGTTAAACTTAAATTCTGTTTTATTCCACGTCGTTATCATTAAGTTTTTTTTGGTTCCCATTTTGTATCTTAACTTTTTTGGTGGAATATAAAAAGGTTCGACAAATGTGGACAGCCTTCTATATTCTGCGCATGTTCTTTTCATGGCGCAAGCTTGCCATGCCTACGAAAGTAACTTCATAAATTTGACATGATGTTTACTTAACCTAATACCAAATGTTTTGATGTTTTGTTTTGGTGCAGTCAATCCATGTTGCTACACCTATTGAATTACATATTTATTAAATTAAATAATCATTTTAGATTCCGTCACGTGAAAATATTATTTTCACTTTACTTGAGGATATTCTCTTGAGAATATTCCCTCAAGGATACTAGTAACAGAATCCTTAGATACATAGTTAGCAAACCCGTGGATTTTGCTGTCACCCAGAGGCCAGTGACTGGTTGTGGGCGTTGTGGCTTTTGTGACCAGGATTCGTCTTTACAGCCACAAACTGATGTAGCCGTGCCAAGAGGAGTTTTTCCTATGGACTTATAGTGCTGTAAAGATAAGTCGTTTAACTATTTGACCTTTTGTATTACGTATTACTTTATATTTACTGTTAACTGATCATATGCATATGATAAGGTGAATACCTTTATGATAATTTTTTTTTGATAATTTAATTTTTTGATAAATATAATTTTGATATTATTGGGAGAGAAGGAAATACCTTACATGTTTTTATTGGGTTTTTAAATAGAATATACAGAGTCTGACCAAACTCACTTTTTTTTGGATATAATATTTTGTTAATATAATACAATTTGATATTGAGAGGGACATAAATTTAATGTGGTTTGTTTTTAAATATTATATAATGAGTATGGAACAACTCATTTTTTGGATGTAATATATATATTTAATATAATTGTAATAGAGATTTATCAAGTTTGATATCTTTACAATATTGTCATTAGTACCTCATTTCAGTAGAACTAATTTAAATTTAAATGACTACCTTTTTGTTTTAAGACTTTGGCTACCCTACGGACTATTCTTGTTGTATACTAATATTTCATATTTTATTTGGCCAGTGGTAGTGACTATTCATTTGTTGAGGGGCTATTAGGTCCTATTGTATCTGTACACCATCCACTACCACTGTTATTTGGCTTTGCATTATATGTAAATTGTTTATACACATATACCTATATACATTTGTTTATAAATATATTTATTGTTGCTATTTTGAGTTTTATTTCAGTTCTACTAACCAGTATATAACATAGCAAAACAAGATTAATATTTAGTATTTTTGTATTTCAGAGTATTACCTCCAGATTCATTTGTTACTTCAAAATCTCAACTATCGTTGAGTTGGCGCCCTTCTTTTCTCTTCTTATTGTTCTCTTTCTATAAATTTATTCCCAGTGACCTTCTTTAGTTGTATCACGTTTGATATTACCAGGTCTCATTTCGTTTCTTGTCTCATTAGCTCAGTATCCTTGCTATCTGTTTAAATCTTTAAAGCCACAATCCAGTGCATTGAAGCTAGCCCGAACACTCACTTGAGATTTAGTGTCTCTTTGGCCATTTAAATTTGTTCCTCTGAGCTTAGCCCTATTTTTAGTATTTTTTTTTCCATCACTTCTCTTTCAGTTCTTCTGAACTTTGTCAATTCACACATTTTATTCGTTTCAAGAGCCCGCAAAACTTAAAACTACAGAAGTTTTGAAATCAGACATATCATTATCTATAAAGTTAAGTCTACCAAACTTAACCTATCAGGTAACTAAACAACAACTATATAAACATATTTGTAACCAATCCGGTACTTGACAATCAATCATTGATAAGATCAATTAGTGGAAATTGTGCGTCAAGAGCCGTAATGTCCAATATTTCAGATGTTATGAAATCTTTTAACGCGAGCACTACACCATCACCCTTCACCTTGTCCACCTTATGGAATTTTCGGTCTTTTCTGTATACGACATAATTATTCGGAAAGGGCTCCATACTCTCAATACTACTACTACTTCTTCAATAGTTCCAATGAAGGTTGAACGGATTATTTTTTAATGTATTTTATCTTATTTTAACCTAAAAAGCTATTATTAAAAAAAAACCTTGTGTTTATTCTAGAAATCCCACATGTTCGCCGCAAATATTATTCTTTTTCTCTCACAAAATCAAAAGATTTTTTTGTTTTCGCTAAAAACTTTATAGGAATATCCATACTTTATATTGGAGTACCTGCTTTAATGAATTTTTAAATTGTTTTTAAATAAAACAGTATTTTCAACTATGACCATATTTTTATTATACAGGGTGTTTCAAAGAAAGGTAACCCCGTCTCTAGGGTAGGTAAAAAACTGAAAAATAATTGGGGTTTGCTGAGTAAAAAATGCATTTTTTACGATCTTGCCGAAACTACTGGCAACATTGTAATGAAATTTTATATGAATATGTTTAGGAGGCTGATACATCCTATGAATTTATTTTTATATCTGATTCTCATAGAGGGCGCTAGTTACTCGGATCGTACTAAGTGTTAGTCAATATAACTTTTTTAAGAGTATAATTATTGATCAAAATTTTAAGTAAACTTAAACATCATTAAATTTTACACGAAAAAGTTACTCTTGGTAAAATTCAATACTGTGTACCATTTTCGGAATATTTTGATTTGAAAATTATGAAGTAATAATTGATGCTGGTGGTAATGATAAAGTTCTAATAGGTATACCTCTATTTTCTCCAAGTGTGCCATAGAAATCTGACATTTATTGATTGTTATGACGATAAATCAACAATAATTAGAGTTTTGAAACCTTTGTATTTTCAAAATCAAATCAAAATGTACTCGAATGTTGAATACACTGACATGTTATTAACCTTGGGCGAATGTTTAAGATGTTCTAGTGCAGCTGTGACACGTTATGCAGAAAAGTTTCCTAGAAGAAACTTACCAAGTAAAAAAACATTTAGAGCCGTTGAACGACGTTGTCGAGAAACTGGGAATGTAAGACCAAATAAACTAAATCCTGGTAGACCAAGAACAACAAGAACAATTAATAAAGAAAATAATATTTTAAATTTACTTGATTAAGATCCAACAGTTAGCGCAAGGAATATAGCAAGATAAACAAATACTTCTTTTTCAAGTACTTAGCGGGTACTGAAAGAACAGCAATTACATCCTTATCATTACAGACAAGTCCAAGAGCTCATGCCAGATGATCTATACGCAACTATTATATATCTTTACCCAACAAGGTATGTTTAACTCCCATAATGCACACTACTGGTGTGATGAGAATCCACGAGTCAAAAGGGTATCACATTACCAACACTCATTTAAAGTTCATGTTTGGGCAGCAACTTTAGGTAACAAATTAATAGTAATATGACATGTTCTACCTGGAAATTTAAATGGTGATATGTATCTTGATTTTTTAAACAATTCCTTATTCGAGATATTAGAAGATTTAACGCTAAACGAGCGAAGATCTTTATTTTTTATGCACGATAAGGCTCCACCACACTTTGATAGGAGGTGTCGTAATTGGTTGACTAATCATTTTCCGAATCGATGGATTGGTAGAGTTGCAGAAGCTCCGATTCATTGGCCTCCTCGGTCATGCGATTTTAACCCTTTGGACTACGCAATTTGGTCGTATATTAAGGAAAAAGTCTATGCTATAGAGGTAAATTCATGCTAAGAATTGGAAGAAAGAATTCATTGTCAATTTAATGACATCATAGCTGATCCCCTACCGTTTAAAAGGTTAATGGAATCTTTAGAAAAAAGAATAGACTTGTATATTCGCGAAAACGGAGGGCATTTTGAACACTTACTGCAATTGAATTTTATTTTATGTGTTACTGTTATGTAGTCACTAATTTAATTTTCTTCTTGTGATTTTTGTTTAATTACTAACTATTTTGTACCAGCAACAACTATTACTTCATAATTTTCAAATCAAAATATTCCGAAAACGGTACACAGTATCAAGTTTTACCAAGAGTACCTTTTTCGTGTAAAATTGAATGATGTTTAAGTTTACTTGAAATTTTAATTAATAATTATACTCTTAAAAAAGTTATATTGAATAATATTTAGTACGATCCGTGTAACTAGCGCCTTCTATGAGAATCAGATATAAAAACAAATTCATGGGATGTATTAGCTTCCAAAACATATTCGTGTGGAATTTCATTACAATGTTGCCAGTAGTTTCGGCAAAATCGTAAAAAATGCGTAAATTTTTTTCTTCAACGCCCTGTATCTTGAAAACGGATGGCATTACAAAATTTTTTTACTAAGCAAATCCCAATTATTTTTCATTTTTTTTTTCCTATCCTAGAGACGGGGTTACCTTTTTTTGAAACACCCTGTATGTGCCTACGTTTAGTTTTTAAATATGACCAAAATTTTAAATATTATTAATAGTAGTGTATTTTTATTTCAAATCAATTATTATTGTTTATTTTTTTTTTATAACAATCTCATTGGACTGTGATAAAAAAGGTCACGACAAGAGTCATATATGTTTATACACGATTTATAAAAATCAGCTCATTTTTCTATTCAAAAGATTATAAAAAATGACACAGTTACCATATTTTATTTTATTAGGTATATATTTTTTCTATTTTTTAGTAGTTTTAGTGTATTATACGTGATTTTTAAGTTACTCTTTGTGTATATAAGATCATTTTTGAACATACAATATAAATTGGGTAAATGATATAAATTTAATATTTTATTGCCACACACGTTATACAGTCAATGTAAAAGCATGCTTTAAAGTGAACTGGATGACTTTTTCAATTTTACACTTATTTAAGTTGCAAACGTAAGGCAGTATATGGGAATCAAAATTGTAGAATAATTAGGAAATCAACTGTATTGTACTAAATAAACAAGTATACGACAGTGTTTTTAACAAAATCCTTTGGGACAATTACAAATTTAATCAAGTACCAGACCAAGTACTAGTAACAATGGTTACAGTCGACAATCATTTTTGATAGCTACAGAACATTTATTCAAAGTACAGTGAAACACTTACCCAAAATGTTTAAATAATCTACTTAAGATAAAATCTACGTGATTATTTAATTTAATTTATTGTAAATATATCTTTTTCATTTCACGTTTTAGGGCTGTCCCATAGCATATATTATTGTGAAATAGCTAATTACAACAATGAGTTGTGCACACCAGATAAAGTAAAGGTAAATATTTCTATTTGTGTTAATTAATATATATATATATATATATATATATATATATATATATATATATATCTATATATATATAAATATATATATATATATATATATATATATATATATATATATATATATATATAAATATATATATATATATATATATATATATATATATATATATATATATATATATATATATTGTGTTAATCACAGCTGATTAAGTTAGAAAATAAACCAAACTTAAGACTCTTTGGGTAAAAACAGCTCAAAGGATAAGCTAAAGTGTACTCTTTAGTTCTTTATTAATCCAATATTTCGTCGATAGTTATCGACATCATCAGGGATAAGCTACAATTAGTTTACATGAAAATTGACAATCTGTTATAAATAAGTTGATGTTACTTACGATTTTGAGAATAGTGCCGTAAAAGCGGGTCAAAGTTAAAAAAATTTTAAAAAAGAAAAAACAGAAAAAACATGTAATGTAAATTCACTAAGACTAGTACAAAGACAATGCACAATTCTAGCTGATTATGTGTAGGACCGAATGTCTTCTCTCGAGAGTTTTACATCTTATATTTTCCTATTAACCTGTACAGAGTGTCAGTTAAAGTGGAACAACGTGGTTAATTGTAGGTTTGAAGACACTAATCTCTAAAATCTTCTTCTCTCTTAGATGGTCAAAGTAGAGCGGAGATTTTAGTGGCCCTTGCCTTATTGATTGATGTAAAAGAATTAAGTACCCTTGCTACTCTGGAGTTCTCGCTAGGTCTGTGAGTTCTCAAAGAAGGACATCGGATGGACTTTGAGTCAGTAGAGGTTCTAGAAAGGGAAACCAATTACAAGAAACGTCTTTTCCTAGAAATGGCTTGTACAGCGCAAACAGAGAATAACATAAATAAAAAAAACAGACATCAACCACCTCAGTGAAATCTACTCCTTTCTTCTAGAAGTAGACAAACAACATATGAAATTCAATAATTCAATAGCTTCCATTTTAGAATAAATTTAACACCATTTTATTACATAGTTTAACAATAGACTCTTAAAGTAAAAAATCGTACAGCACATTATCAATTATAATAATCAACATTTCATATCAAAAATTTAAATACAAAATTACTTTATTAATCTTCAACCTTTACAAAATAACTAGGTCTTGGAATCAACCAAGATCTATTTAATAAACTCTTGTTACAGTGATCTTCAACCATGTTAACAATTTCAAATTTTTTTTAAAATTTTTTAAAATATCTCCTACCTAAGATTCTATTCTAATACAGGCACAGACAACCACTAAGGCAAGGGCCACTAAAATCTCCCCTTTACTTTGACCATCTAAGAGAGAAAAAGATTTTAGAAGTGTCTTTAGTGTCTTCAAACCTACAATTAACCACGTTGTTCCACTTTACATGACACTCTGTACAGGTTAATAAGAAAATATAAGATGTAAAACTCTCGAGAGAGGACATTCGGTCCTACACATATTCAGTTAGAATTGTGCATTGTCTTTGTACCAGTCTTAGTGAATTTACATTACATGTTTTTTTTGTTTTTTCTTTTTGTGAAAAAAACTTATACAATTTTTTCACAAAAAAATTTTTATAACTTTGACCATCTTTTACGGCACTATTGTCAAAATCGTAAGTAACATCAACTTATTTATAACAAATTGTCAATTTTGATGTAAACTAATTGTAGCTTATGATGTCGATAACTATCGATAAAATATTGGATTAATAAAGGACTAAAGGGTACACTTTACACTTAGCCTATCCTTTCAGCTGTTTTTACCCAAAGAGTCCTAAGTCTGGTTTATATATATATATATATATATATATATATATATATATATATATATATATATATATATATATATATATATATATATATATAAGGTAGTCCAAAATTTTTTGACTAGTTTGGAAAAAATATGTAAATACTGATGTATTTACATATATATATATATATATATATATATATATATATATATATATATATATATATATATATATATATATATATATATATATAGAAGACATTTACAAAACATACGCACTTGTTTAAAACTTAAGTGTACTAATATTAATGATAAATTATTTATTAATTTTTTTTTGACCTTAGTTCATGTTGTTTAAAACAATGGAACTATAAATCAGTAAGCAGTACTGGCCTTAAGAATAATGCGTTCAAAATTCATATTTTACATAAGTTTTTAAATAGTAATTGAACTTTTAGGCAAAACAATTACTCCTAAATGAGTGCCTTGACAGGAAAGAAGGTGCCTATGCATTTTCCCAAACACTCATGAGACCAAGTGGTTCAATAGCTGAGTTTTTAAAAAAACGCTGTGCAATGAAACCTCATTTAGACGATTGTCTAGATCTTTGGTTGGATTTAATAAAAGAGTGTGTCAATGCCGATGATCTCAGAGGGCTGGAAGTTTGGAAAAAAATCGATACGGAAATTATAAACTATGTTTGTGCTCACGATGCCGAGGCAATGACAAGTAAGTATAGAAATTTGAGAAAAATTATAAATTTATTATATATTTCTTGGGATGTAGCACATTAACAAAAATTAAAACACTTTAAATTATGAACACTGGACAGTTAAGTAATATATATTCTAATCATCATCATTTAATCTTCGCATATCCACTGCTAGACATAGATCTCCCTCATAATTTTCCATCTATTTCGATCTTGTGCCTCTTGCATCCAATACCTCTGACAACGTTTTAGATCGTCAGTATAACGTGTTGCTCGACGACGTCTACTTTGGTAGGCATCATATCTTGGTCTTCATTTCAGTACCCCTTTGTCCATCTATTATCTGTCATTCGAGCCACATGACCTGCCCAGTTTCATTTCAGTGTTGCTACTCTCTCTACTGCATCAGCCACTCATGTTCTTTGTCGTAGCTGGCGATTTGGGATCTTGTCTCGTAGTGAAACGCCCAACATAGCAAGCTCCATCGCCCTTTGACACACAGTCAGTCTTATACGACGAAGAAACTCAACGGTTTGGTTAGGACCTAGGTATTTATAAGCCATTACCTGGTCTATGGATCTTGTTTCTACGCATATATCTTTACTGACTACAGGATTTGTCATCATTTGAGTTTTAGATATATTTATTTTCAATCAATCCATCTTTTAGCAAGGCTAGGCAGAGCTGATTTAAAAGTTTTTTGACCTCATCTATTCTATCAGCTATTAGTACAATATCATCTGCAAACCTTGGATGGCTAAGCTTTTCTCCGTTTATGTTTATGCCCTTGTCGGTCAGTTTTGCCCTTTTACATATATATTTCAAAAGCGTAGTAAACAGTTTCGGCGATATGTTGTCCCCTGGCGTACTCCACGTTTTATCGGGAATTTGAGGGTTTGACGATCACCCACTGTAACACTGGCTGTGCGTTTTGGTATATTATGTGTTTAATTATATTTATATACCGATAGTCAATTCGGCATTCTGTCAAGGTTTCCAACATTTTACATGTATACATAGTTCAAATATTCAGAAAATCGAAAGGTCTCATAGAAATACGAAAGGAAAAGCCAGAGAAAAAAGTTAAGAAACTGATAGACGTTTCTAATGAAGGTGTGACTTATGACTATTCCTCAAAATCTAAAGATGACTACAGCCTTTATCAAGCACAAGTGATGAAGAGTGCAGTAATATTGCTTCTAAAAGACAAAGGCTTACAACAAACACAAAACTTACTGAAGTGGAACATAAAACTAACGTGAAATCAAAACGAAAGAAGGAAAATAATTCTGAAAAAATAAACAATTCACAAGGAACTGATCTTGTTACAAAAGAGGAGGCTCAGTCGATTTGCCTTAATAATAGCACGGAAAATTTGTCTTTAACCAAAAAGAAGAACAGGAAGGGAGAAAACGTAAACCCAAGAGATTGGGAACGAACTCTTAATGCAGCAAAGAGAAGAAAAGAAGAAAAATATTTAGGTTTAAAAAACAAGACAAAGGCCAGTACAAACTTTCTGTTGAAAGAGAAAAACGAAAAATGAAAGCTCCATGTAAATGCAAGAATAGGCTTTTTAATTGTGATAAAGTGAGTGAAGCTAACTTCTACACTACTATAGTGTCTTTGGTGGATAAATCTACACCAGAATTTCGACGATCAAGTACTGTTTCAGAGAACTTGCATAAATATTCTTCTTTTAAGTACCATTTGAAGGTGAGTGATATAAGAATGCAAGTATGTGAGAAAATGTTTTTAAATACATTTTAAATACATAGGGGAAAGGTATGTACGTCTGTACGTCAAAAACCATGAAAACGTAGAATCTACAAATAATATTGATTCCATTGCTCAAACGGCATCTAGGAATGATACAGAAAAAAGGAGGGGAATCCATTAGTTGTTAGATCCTTTGCCAGAAATGGAATCGCACTACTGCCGTGCTAAAACAAGCAAAGTGTATTTAGAACCAATGTGGGAAAGCAAGAGTAAACTTTACAGAGAATATGAGTGTTTCTGGCAAGAGCAGCAACTTCAACCAGTATTAAAAGCTCTTTTTCATGTAGTTTTTGAAAATAAGAATATCGGGTTTTTTCTTCCTAAAAAAGATCAGTGTGAGACTTGCCTAAAACACAAACTTGGAAAAATAACAAACGAAAAATACGATGATCACAAAAACAGAAAAGTTGAATCCAGAAATGAAAAAGAAACAGATAAAAATGTGCTGAAAACTCAAGTGAAGTGCAAGTTTATGGTGTTGATGTACAAAAAGTTCTCACTTGTCCAAATATAAAGGCATCTATAGCCTATTATAAAACAAAACTTAAAGTTCACAATTAGACTATTTATAACTTAGCAACACATGAAGGCACATGCTATATTTGCCACGAAGGTAATGGAGGTGTAGAAAGTTATGTATTTGCTTCAATGATTGTGAGGTTTTTGAAAAAAGATTTTTAAGACTGTTTCAAACGCTCTACTGTATTTCACTTGAAAAACAGAAGTAACTGTATATCAAAAATATTTGGAAGTAGAACACACACAAATGGAGGTAGACTCCATGCATACTAAAATAGAAAAAAAGCTTAAGAACAAAGAGCATTACGTTTTGGCAGACTACGTGAGAGCAATACGTGAAGCAAGAACCCATCCAAACCCTTACTGTGTAGAAAGCTTATCTTTTAAGGATTTTCTTTGTTTTTCAAATGGATACTACGAGAGTAAGGCCTGGTTTAATAAAAAAAGAGACCCTTCTGTCACTGACTTAAGGTGCCTTAAGTATGTAAAAGATGGCCATATTTGATACAGATTAAACTTTTCAAATAACTGGTTAGAGTTGTCTAAGAGACCAAAACCAATTAATTAAGGTTTTCTCTGTACTCAACACTCTGAACACTTAATCCTCTGTACTCCAAATCTCTACCAATTCAAGACAAGAAGTACAAAGACTTACAAGAATTAAAAGCTTGCCTTGAGGAGGACTACCACATTTTTTACAACTTGAGTCATGGCAACTACAAAAAAGTTTTACTTACTGTTTTGTTACAAAAAGTAAAAGTAAGTAGGAGTAGAAGTTGTGTAATATTTTTAAAAATGTCGTATGTTACTTTATTTCTTTGAAATTAGAGTGCAAAATGCTGTACTACATAATTAAAATAAATTAAGTTGCAAAGTGTCGTATGTACAAAAAAAAATAAGTATGTCATATAATTTTTGCCGTGTAATCAAAATCATTTTAAAAGTGAAGACTAAAAAGATAAATATTTTGTATTCCTATGTTTAAAAAAAAATGTATTTAAAAGTAAATACGTTTTTTCTACCTCCTGTAAAGTACACTAATTTTACATACACCATTTTGCACTTACGGTGACGATATATAATAATTGTGAATTTGTGGATCATTATATTTCCATATGTTTCTTTGTTTCCATTTGTTTCTTTTTAATTTTTTATAGGTCTTTTAAAGAACAGATACCACAGTTGTCGTCAAGGTTTATCGCGAATTTTAGCAGATTGTTCTCGTAGTCTTGGTATAACTGCTCCGTTTTATGAAGTAGATAAAGTACGGCAAAAATGCAAGTAAGTTTAGATTATTTTACCAACCAATTATTCATTTATCGCTATTATATTTCTGTTTCTAGTTATGAGTTTTAACTGAAAAATTAGAAATAATAATTCTTGACGGTGAAAAAAACAAGCACATGAATAAAAAATCTTTTATGACTAGTAACTGTATAACAACAAACTAAGTTAACACCTATAGCCACGAATGTATACGGAACGAAAAAAAAACACGCTAGCTCTTTTATTAAAAAAATTAAGAAAAAGCAGCATAAGAGTAAGTTATCTCAATATAAAAATGAACATTATTTTGTATGTTACAACATGATAATTTCAACTAAATGAAATGAAAGAACCAGCTGAAACAAAACTAAAGATACAGCTAAACCTGTCAAATTTGCAGATAGAACAATGAGTAGCAGTTTCTTAATAAAACCAATCAAATATATATATTAACTACATCAAAATTACTTGAATTAAAATTCGAGGCTAATTTTTTCGAAGGAAAAGAACATTTTTTGACACCAAATAAGACCTGGTAAAAGCTAGTTTAATCAAAGATGAACACTTAGTCTCATTAGATTTAGACATGCTTGTATAAAGTAATATAGTATAATAAGTATAAAATAATAAAAGAGCAAATTGCCGTAACAGTATTTGAAATAAATGCAGCGTAGTAGCTGTGTGTAGATAATACTAAACACACACACACACACACACACACACACACACACACACACACACACACACACACACACACACATGCAGTGATCAACCCTGCCCCTTGGAACATGTGTATACCAATCTAAGAGTGGTATCCGAAGATCAAACGGGTCACACTTTACTAGTTGAAATAGTACCTATCTGACCCCCAGGCTTTTCCTCCACCCCTCCTCATCGTGTGACTTACGTGAGCAAGCTTATGATCTGAAAGTTACTTTAGGTACTCTATGGTAATGGAACACCCTCTGTTTTTATTATGGTGGTTATGTCACCTAACTGTAGGGGTAGCCACATCTAGGCTTTTCTCCCAATTTACTTTATTGACTCTATTGAAGTTACTCTAACATCACTTTGGGACTTGAGTTCCTAAAACAAAAAAAGAAAAAAGAGCGTGTGTTCCGACCATGGAGCCGCCAGCCTGTGCTGGAGTGTAACGAACCGAGTACTTTAGTTGAAAATAAAAAATATGACGAAGATAACACAAGTATTGTAAATTCGCGCCAAAGTCCAACTGATTTAAGAGACCATGTGACTGTAGAGTTGCCAAATAGTGACAGTGAAAATGAACCTTTTGATTCGGACGATTCTGTAATCGACAAAAACTATGTTCTTTCTTCAGATGAATCATACAGAGATGTAAGTGAGAGTGATTTATTCGACGATGATAATGAGACAGAAATTGATAACGAAAAAATGTCAGAATATAAAAATGATAAAAACGAGTGGCATGAAATAGGTGAGAGTGACAATTAAACTGGTGAGTTTAATCAATATCAAGATATGCCTACATTAAATTTTAACGTTAACGAAATAAAAAATCCTATAGACGCTTACAAGTTATTTGTAACCGATGATATTTTACAAAATATTGTCACTGAAACAAATTTATTTGTTCGGGAAATGTTATTAAATATACATCGATCAAAATCACGTATACGGTACTAGGTTGACTACGATGTAGCCAAACTAAAATGTTTTTTTCTTCAATATGTATAGTTATGGGATTAGTTAATGGTCCCGCAATAAATTTTTATTGGTCGAAAAATCCCATGTTCAGGAATGTCCTGGACAACCAGGAACATGTTTATTTGGCTTTAATAGCTTTCATAAAAAATAATCTATTTTTCTGAAACTTGATTGTTTTTTTAATAACTACGAAAAAATCTTTTATTTTGCTGAAACTTTATGTTTTTTTTTTATTTATTAGGTAACTATGGACACAAATATTATTTAGTTTAGATTTTTTTGTTTTTAAATATTATTTACACTAATAAAATATTAAAAAGTTTTGATCTTTTAATTTTAATCTGTTAAAAATAGTAAGCTGTCTTGATACTTTAAAATATTCTTAACAGGAAACAAATGACAATGGTAGGTTATAACTTATAGAACCGATTATCTTTATTACACTGCTGATTATTACAAAAATAAATGCAACGCATCAGTAAAAGGAACCTGTCTCGTCTCATGGTAGTCGTAATAAACTCATTCCTGAACATGGGATCTTTCGATCAATATAAATTTATTGCGGGACCATCAACTAATCCCATAACTATACATATTGAAAAAAAAAAAACGTTTTACTTCGTCTATACCGCAGTCAACCCAGTAACGTATACGTGATTTTGATCGATGTGTATATAAAACATTTCCCGAGCAAATCTATTTGTTTCAGGGACAATATTCCGTGAAAGATTATCGGTTACAAATAACTTGTGAGCGTTTATTGGATTTTTTATTTCGTTAACGTTAAAATTTAATATAGGCATATCTTGATATTGATTCAACTCACCAGTTTCATTGTCATTCTCACCTATCGCATGCCACTCGTTTTTATCATCATTTTCAGATTATGACATTTTTTTCGTTATCAATTTCTGTCTCATTATCATCGTCGAATAAATCACTCTCACTTACATCACTGTACGATTCATCTGAAGAAAGAACAAAGTTTTTGTCGATTACATCAAATCGAATGAATCGTCCGAATCAAAAGGATCGTCCCGTTCATTTTCAGTATTCAAGTACTCGGTTCGTTACACTCTACAATTTTTGTTTTGTTTGTATCAGCTGTTTGAGCTAAAAACAAAATCTTTTTAATGCGAGATGACATTTTTAGACTAGGAAGACCACGTAAAACACTGACATAAACACACCTGGCATTGAAATACAAACGATACTAAATGTCGATTGACTGCACAGACATGCAGATATATAAATATGCACCGGTCTCGCAGGACCGGTCTCGCAACCGAGTAACAAATTGTAATCTCTGTGCGTTACCGGCCCCCTAAGCCCGGTACATTTTTTTTCTTTTAGAAATGTTTAGAATCTTAAGACAAGTATAATGCTGCTTTTAGCATTTTAAACAAACGAATATTAACGAAGATATGCCTTGCGTAATTTTTAAAAGTTTGCAGCTTTCGCACGCCGCACTTTAATAATAACGAACACCGGTCTCAGGGGACAGGTAACGCAGTCAAACTGTTAAAAACATACTGTTACTATCGAAACGAGTAGATAAAATTTGAACATCTTTAACAAATAAAATAAAATTTTGTCGTTGTTTACACGCCTTGCATCGCTTATTGAAATTTTAACAGAAACAACTAGATGAGTATGAACTCGTTTCTGTAGACTAACATAAATATTGTATGAGCTTTAACTAATATTACTATACTTTTTTTTTAGTAAAATTGGAACAATGGAATCATGTGTAACCAGCAAACTTGAAAGAAATTGCATGAGGAATGCAACAGAATTGGCAAAACCCCTATTTCATATTGTTAAAACTAATTTATGCAGTAATGAACATTAATGTTAACTAACAAAATTATTAACCTGTTAACTAGTATTACGCAAAGTACTAAAGGATAATTCATAAATACTATGTATCTAATTAATCGATAGTAATCAAATAAATAGTTGTTTTGTATTTAGCTTACTACAATTAAATTTCATTCTGACTGCTGTCTTTATTTTGTGAGGTTGTTGTTATTCCACCAGGGTAACATCATCTGATCGTGAGCTTTATCAGATGTTTATAGATTTTAAACAAGCATTTGATAGAGTATGTAGGGATAAACTATGGACAGCGATGCAGGAACTTGGGTTTCCAAAAAAACTAGTCAGGTTGATACGAATGTGTATAGAACGGTTACGATGTAAGGTGAGAGTTGGACAACAATACTCAGAAACATTTGAAATAAACAATGGATTAAAACAGGGAAATGCACTTTCACCACAACTTTTTAACTTAGCTCTAGAGCACATAATCAGAAGTGCAAGAATCGAAAAATTTAATACTTTATTTCATTGAGAAGAACCAAGCTTACTACTGGCATTTGGAGACGATATCGATCTAATAGGAAACAAACGATTAAGGATGAAGGAGACTTTCTTGGGGTTTGAGAAGGAAGCAGAGAAGATGGGGCTACAAATAAACGAAAACAAGACGAAATGTATGTATATGAGCCGCAATAACCAAAGCAGAGAAAAAATTTGTCAGAACATCACCATGAATGACTTTAACTTTGAGCGCGTTAGAGAATTCAAGTATCTTGGAACAACAATAACTGAAGACAATAACGGATCACAAGAAATAAACAACAGGATTTAGGTCGGCAACAGATGTCTTTTTGCCTTCCAAAACTTTATAAAATCGAAACAATTAACACGACGTACGAAGATACAGGTCTATAAAACAATCATATGACCCATTGTAATGTATGGAAACGAAACGTGGACGATAACAAAGGCAAACGAAGAGAGACTATGTGTTTGGGAAAGAAAAATCCTAAGGAAGATCTTTTTTCCTGTACTGGATGAACAGGACAACATAGGATAAGAACTAACAAAGAGCTCGAAGAACTTTACTCAGACGCCAAAATCATAAAAGAAATAAAATCCAGAAGACTCCAATGGAACCACAGAAACCACAGAAGACATTCTGACGAACGAACAATAAGACTGGTGTGGGAGAAAGTCCCAACTGGATGGAGACCACGCGGACGCCCTCATCTCCGCTGGCGAGATAATATAGCAGGAGACCTAAGCACTATGGGCGTGGAGAATTGGATGGAGGTTGCTCAAGACAGAAAACAGTGTAGGCATATGGTCGAGTCCCCCCCACGAAGGTTTGTAACGCCACGGAGTAAGTAAGTAAGTTAAAAAGTCACAAAAATGTCGCAATATGTTAAAAAGAAAATAATAGAATATGGTTTACTATTTCTATTCTCTCGCTGATGTAAAATATAGCGAAACGTAAAGCCAGGAGAAAAAGTAACTTGTTTTAATTAGAGCGTAAGTACACAATTTAAAAAAATTATGTACACAATATAAAATAGGGCATGGAAGTTAACTTTCTTATTAGATACACCAAAGTAATTTAAAAAAGCAACTTTTGTTAGATAGGGCTCGACTATTACGAAAAGAAAAACCAAAATTATTATTGCTTCCTATATATGGAAATCAGACTTTGTATGAAAAATCAACTGGATTAAAAAGTTACTAGTTAAAGCAGGACAGAATAGAAAAGTCAAATTTTTATAAATCTAGATTAAAAAAGAAGGTTAAAAATATATACTGCCGTCCGTTAGCTAGGCCGATTTTGAGCTATAAATGCCACACTATATAAAAAAAATTCTCTATCGATCTGTCTCGGATTCGTATTTCTAAGGTTTGTAGTTTCAAAGATAGCATAAGCAAAAACATCGTTATTTACAACAAAATTTTAACTTTACACAGCTTAAACTACGTTAATTCACATTACTGAACTAAAACAACAGAAACCGCCTTCAATGATAGTTTTTTTTTTAATTTTCATTTAAGCTACGTAGCTAAAACCATGTTGCCCAAAGTTAAAGAATTTCCATAACTAAAACACCTTTAAGTAACAATACTAAAACAATGATACTACGCTAAAACATCACTAGGCGACCTCCCTCTCACCTGCTACACTGCGGCGCGGTCATATCCATATCGTCAGTTTTAATTATCCTTTCGTTTGTCGGAGAAATCACGTCACGAGCTTTTGGTGAACAGGATATTTCACGCCAAATCATCAATATGGCTAAGAAAATGCCTTGGTAGGTTCCTTCTTGTTATTATTACTAAAAATTTTAACAAATGCCCTTTAAAAGTTAATGGAATCTTAATTACGACTTGTATATACATGTACAAGATAAAAGATTGTGTATTTTGTATGTTTCCATGATTTTGTGTTGCACACCAACAGAAACAACAGTTTGTATTGTTTAAGAAATATTTACTTGTTTTCTAATCATATTCCAATAATATTATTATTCCTAGTAAACGGAATATTTCGTTTTTTGCAGTTCTAAAATTTGGCAGCGACTTCAACTCATATTAGATAAATGGTAACGTCACAAATACCAAGTTAGGATTACTTTAAGATGCAAACTGGCGAACCGGAAACATAATTTGTATGCTCGACCATATTCCATGACGTCGGCAATTTTCAACAAATTTTGTGAGACACAAAATAGTTTAACATCTTACTATTCCCGAAATTTAATAAATAAAATAATTACTATGCTAAACAAAGCCTTTCCAAGCATATCATTAGGAAACACTGATATGTTTTGTTATAAAAAAATGCCAGCAGATGATTTTCCTTCTGATAATGTACCTGATTCTATCCAACATAATTCTTTTTACCCTGATAATAATACAAAACCATCATTATGCCCTAATATATTAGATTTTAATTCAGACGACTCAGTTCTTGACGAAGATTATATTCCGGATTCAAGCGAAGATTCAGACGATTTAAATTTGCCAGAAAACGTTCCTTCGCACCGAAAATTGACAAAAAAAAGTAATTTACGAATTTTTCCTACAAGTTTAACCGAGCCTTCTACTTCTACAGCTACACTCACCAAATCTTCACCATCTCTTACATTCCGTAATTCACTGTCGTCAAATAAACATAAAAATTTACGTGTTATGACAGATTTTTGAGAACTAAGATGCATTGAAAATGGGGAAAAAAAAGAGCTAAGTAGATTGGACTAAAAAGAAAAATACTAACACTATGGATACGAAAAGCACTGGTACGGGGAGAAGTGAACTTGATGTCCAACCACAGAAACGAAAGAAATATGACACTGGCCTAGTTGAACGGATTAAAGAGAAGAGAGCTAAAAAGCAATTAGAATATGCCGTAAAACCAACTTGTACTGAAAATTGTTTGAAAAAACACGTTTTTTACTAAGCCAGATAGAGCACAGTTGAATTCTGATTTTTGGAGTTTGTCTTTTGAACAGGGAAAAGTTTTTGTTATGTCTCAAGTGGCTGCAGCAGTTTCGAAAAGAAAATACACAAGTGAACCTAAAAGAAAGCCGAAAAGATGTTTTGCGTTTAAAAAGAAAAGAGATGAATTCGACTACCTTGGATTATAAAAATCTCATTCATTCAGACATGCGTGGAAAACACCAGAAAGCGCCTTTCTGAAAATCCATGAGCACCAGAAACCATGTCGCTTTCTGCATTTTTCAATAATCGCCTTGCATCTCGCTGATATGGGGAGTTATCGATTATTTCATCGGACTACTTTTTTTCTCTTTTGTCAAGTTTTCGGCATATCCTATAAAACTTACCAATTTGGGACAACTCTGCACAGAGCCAAATACTTGACCGAAATATTTTAAATTCTGGATACGACAAAGTAACCTTTCTTATTAATTCCAATAATTTATAAAGTAGCAACCGAGTCTATAGTAATTTACTCAAGTCACTGGCCTTTTTAATATATTCTTAAAATAATCTAAACACGGTGATAAATAAAATGTGCTAAAAGACCTTCAAGACAAAATTTGAAGATAGCAAGTTCCGCATTATTACTACATTGTCAACATTTAAACATTTTATTTTCAAATTTAGAATAACTTTAAGACCGTAATTGATAAGGAAAGGGTGATAAAAAGGTCATGGTATATATAACGATGATAATTGTCATTTTGCAATGTTTAAATGTATTTTAAAGATGAATTCTTTGCTGAGTTTTCACATATTCCTAGGTAATGTTTTTAAAGTTTTATAGTGTGTAGCTTTTAAAGGACTCTGAATCACCTTGTAATTACAAGTCCTCTTTTATTTTTTTCTTATTATTTGCTTACTTTCGCAAGAACTCGTTAGTGCTCTATCATATACATTTTTTTTTATATTATTTATCTAATATAACGTTGTACTATTTATTAATAATATGAATAATACAACCTTCCCTTTTTTGTGATAGTCTTTTTACATATTTCATTAAAACTTATATGGGTAACATAATATTAACTATCGTTCTGTAATACACCTGCCGCTAATGATTTGACTTTCTGTTTATTATCTTATAAAATGTGGATGTATTGCATACTCAAAAAGTAATATACTTTCTGAATTCATATATATGGTCTAAAACTTTATATTTATTTTTTATGTTTACAGAATACAAATCAATTTAGGTGTATTGTTTTTTTTTTTTTCAAATTACATGTCTCGGCTGCTGCGGCCATTGACACGAGGAACTGTATTACAGAATAACAATAACTTAAGTTACATGATGCAATAAATTTCATACTGAGATATAAAAAAAAATAAAAACTGCGAATGATTACAAAATTAAAATATAGATAGATGATACAATTACAACAGTGTATATAATTTACAATTTTTAAGAACTCTATCACATTAGACTATTGTTTTTTGTTGATTTTTAAAATATCACATAAACCATAATTTGTTGCTTGTGTGAGTCCATTTCAAATAGGTAAAGAAATAATAAATCAGACTTACTCACAATCAATTTAATTTAACTATCCGATGACCGGTTTCGCTTTCTACAATATGCAAAGCATCTTCAGGTCTCGGTACAAAGTTAAACAAATGCTGAAATGATAAAAACCCATATTAGGGTGTTGTCTAATAAAGATAAACAAATTAGATGTTATAAATTACAATAATTATGCCAATATTACCTGTCTGTGGTTTTATTTAAATGATTGAGTTGAATAAAAGGTATAAATATTTTTTAAAAAAGTTAAAAGGACAAGGTAAGGCCCACAAATTGTCATAAAATCTCTTCTATTGGAATAAATTAATGAATGAGCAAATAAATAAATGAAATAAAATAAAATTACTTACATGCCGGTACTCTATTAATAGATGGATGGTAGAACATGTTTGAAACTACTGTATATTGTTGAATGGAGAACTCAATACTATTATTGCAGTTGTTTGACAGTAAACGGGAAGTTCTTGAGGAGGTAGATTTGATCCAATGAATTTGAGATGTGTGTGAGATTGTTTGTTAAATGTAAGTGGTGTAATATATTATTGTGTTATTAAAAGTTATTTATACTTATTCCAGAGATATATTTTTGAAATGTGTGTTATTTATTGAGTAATTGTTTTATGAAGGTGACATTTATGACAATGAATAAGTGTAGATGTAAAATTGTGTGGGTGTGCAATTATTTCCAAACTTGTAGTTATCAAATTACTTTGATAAAGTTCTATTGGCAATGAGTTAATTATTGGAATGGTCAAGTGAATAAAATGAATAAAATGGTAAAATACAAACACTTAAGGATAATTTAAACACACTAAAAACAGAAAACACTTAGAAGGGACGAAACAAACATTGAATTTAAAAGGGGAAGGACTTTAAAGCACTACATCATAGTCTTGGGCACAATGAGTTTTTTGTTGTTGTATCTATTAGATTTTAGTGGTAAATTTTGACAGATGTAGGTTAGCATGTGACAGTTCTTCTTCTGTTTCTCAATACTGTAAGTTAAGTTATCTAGTTTCATAAAATATGCTGTTATTAATATGAATGTCTATAACTGTTCAATTTAGATATTAGATATATCAAAAGTAATGATGTGTTAAATCTAATTGATGATATCAAATTGAACAGCTTATAGACATTCATATTAATAACAGCATATTTTATGAAACTAGATAACTTAACTTACAGTATTGAGAAACAGAAGAAGAACTGTCACATGCTAACCTACATCTGTCAAAATTTACCACTAAAATCTAATAGATACAACAACAAAAAACTCATTGTGCCCAAGACTATGATGTAGTGCTTTAAAGTCCTTCCCCTTTTAAATTCAATGTTTGTTTCGTCCCTTCTAAGTGTTTTCTGTTTTTAGTGTGTTTAAATTATCCTTAAGTGTTTGTATTTTACCATTTTATTCATTTTATTCACTTGACCATTCCAATAATTAACTCATTGCCAATAGAACTTTATCAAAGTAATTTGATAACTACAAGTTTGGAAATAATTGCACACCCACACAATTTTACATCTACACTTATTCATTGTCATAAATGTCACCTTCATAAAACAATTACTCAATAAATAACACACATTTCAAAAATATATCTCTGGAATAAGTATAAATAACTTTTAATAACACAATAATATATTACACCACTTACATTTAACAAACAATCTCACACATATCTCAAATTCATTGGATCAAATCTACCTCCTCAAGAACTTCCCGTTTACTGTCAAACAACTGCAATAATAGTATTGAGTTCTCCATTCAACAATATACAGTAGTTTCAAACATGTTCTACCATCCATCTATTAATAGAGTACCGGCATGTAAGTAATTTTATTTTATTTCATTTATTTATTTGCTCATTCATTAATTTATTCCAATAGAAGAGATTTTATGACAATTTGTGGGCCTTACCTTGTCCTTTTAACTTTTTTAAAAAATATTTATACCTTTTATTCAACTCAATCATTTAAATAAAACCACAGACAGGTAATATTGGCATAATTATTGTAATTTATAACATCTAATTTGTTTATCTTTATTAGACAACACCCTAATATGGGTTTTTATCATTTCAGCATTTGTTTAACTTTGTACCGAGACCTGAAGATGCTTTGCATATTGTAGAAAGCGAAACCGGTCGTCGGATAGTTAAATTAAATTGATTGTGAGTAAGTCCTGATTGATTATTTCTTTACCTATTTATCACATAAACTTTCGTGGATACCATGTTTGATCCGTGCTGCTGCGTACTGGTTACATTCCACAAGTATATGGTGTACACTTAGACGGGAGTTGCAATATTGGCAGTTTAGAGGTTTTTCGGGAACCATCAGATATCTGTGGGTTAGCCGGGTGTGCCCAATTCTGAACCTTCTAATGATTGTCTTCGATTTTCTTTCCATTGTAACAATTCTAGGTCGTAAAATGTTTGGTTGGATGGACTTTAGTTGGGTAGTGCACCTATTCCATTGATTTTGCCACATTAATGTAGATAACTTTTTAATTTCAATTATTATGTCTTGAAACATTTGGACTTTTTCATCTGTAACGTCAGAGCGACGTGCTTTATTTGCTGCGTGGTCAACATTCTCATTTCCTTTACTACCAACATGTGAAGGATTCCATATCATTGAAACCGAAGTGTTTGATTTAGCAAGTGCTATACATCTTTCGTGGGTCTCATTAACTAAAGGATTTGATGTGTAGATTTTTCTAATCGAATTTATGGATGATAATGAATCTGTGCAGATTGACAAGTTTTTGGTACCATGCATTGGAACCTCTAGAGCTTTAAGTATAGCGTAGAATTCTGCTGTAAATATACTGGTCATATTGGGTAGTCTATACATTGCTAGTATGTTATTTGTGGAAGTAACAGCACATCCGACATTTTCTTCGTCTTTAGATGCATCTGTGAATATTATGTTATCAAACTTGCCTCTATTAATTATGTCATTAAAAGTTTGTTTTATGAGTATCATGAAGGTTTCCATTTTCTTATATCTGCACAAATTTACGTTAAAGTCAGGTAATATTTTTAGCCAAGCTAGAGTATTGGGCTGAATAATGGGGGTAGTGAGATTTATGTCAATATTTTCTAAGAGTGGCAATAGAAACTGTAGTGATGAATTGGCAGTAACTCTACTGTGTAATCTTGTTAATTGCAAATTTTTAATAAGTTGGAAAAATAATTTATTTTTGTTTGCAGAAACCTTAGCAAAATAGGAGTTTAATAGACGTTATCTTCTAATATTTAGAGGGGGTTCACACTATTCGACATATATGCTTTCTGTATGGCTAGATCCAGAACATATTCTTAATGAAGTGTTTTTAATTCTATCTAGTGATTTTAAATTAGTTTTAGGGGCAGACATACATAATATAGAACCGTAGTTTAACTTGGATCTTATTAGGACCCTATATAAACTTAATAAGACTTCTTCTTCGGCTCTCCATTATCGATTGGCTAGTGATTTTAAGAGATTTATATTTTTTAAAGCACTGGCTTTAGTTTTTTCTACATGTCTCTGCCATTATTTGTCGAAAATTACCCCTAAAAATTTGTGATTTTCAACTACTTGTAATGAATGCTGTTTTAATTTTATGAGTGAAAGAGTTTGTTTATATTTTTTGCTAAAGTTAATCACTTTAGACTTTGTAGGCGAGAAGCTGAAACCAATTTTATTAAACTAGTGAGAGATGTTAGTATTTTGCAAAATAGTGCTAGTGAAGCTTGTTACTTTAACCGAACAGCAAATAACTAGATCATCTGCATAGATATTATATTTGACAGGGGGTTGTACTAAGGAACTAAGGTCGTTAAGAAAACAGTAAAAAAAAGGTTGTGCTAAGGACTGATCCTTGAGGTACTCCTGTCTCCAGGATGAATGAGGGAGACATTTTACCATTTGCAGAGACTTTGAAACTTCTGTTAGTTAAAAAAATCTCAACAAATAGATATATGTTTCCAGATAAATTAGACTCTTTAAGTTTTTCTAGAACTGCCGGCCTTGATGCTGTGTCGAAAGCACTTTCTATATTGAGTGAGACAGTTATAAGGTTGTTTCTAGTAGAGAATGCTTCTATGATATCGGATTGAAGAGTGATACATTATCCATCGTGCAACGATTTGGACGATATCCTGATTGAGCGGTATGGATCATATTATGTTTTTTAAGATACCAAAGTAACCGTTTGTTGACAATTTTTTCCAGGAGTTTGCAAAGTGTGCACGTTAATGAGATGGGTCTAAATGACATAGTTGTATTGGCAGAAGTATCATTTTTCTTGAGTGAAATTGTTATAGCTTGTCGCCAAAATGACGGAAATTGGTTACCTAGCCATATGTGGTTGTAGAATTCTAGTAACTTTATTAGGGTATCTTCATTAAGATGTTTTAGGAATATCGATGGAATGTAATCCGGCCCTGCCGCACTGTTCTTTAGGGAGTTAACAGCTTCGACTAATTCGTCGATTGTTACTGGGATATTGACAGGATGATCATTGAAATTAGGATTCTTATGTACAACACATTTATTTGTTATGTTTGTTGATACAGTAGTTGTTATCATGTTTAGTTTTATTTAAATAGTGTTTGGCAAGTGTGTTTACAATCTGCTGGTCATCAGTGATGATATTGTTATCTTCTATAACGGCTGGAATTTTGTATGTTGTATATCTACGTTTCATCTTATTTATTTTAGTCCATATTTGACTAGAAGGTGTGTCGGAAGTTATGCTACTGATGTATTTGTTCCATGAGTTCTTTTTGCTTTCTTTAGGGGTGTATTGTTTCAATATTTATTTATTTCGAAAAAATGTGTTTAATTAATGATATTTATAAGGTATTTAAAGTCATAACAATGTTAAATTGCTACGTATATAATGAATTTTGTAACATTTTGGCAATTATGTCACTTTTTTGTTATATTAAATATCGCTACAGTTATGTTATTACAATTTAATAAACATTCTCTATTTACCTATTCATCTAGCTTTGTTTAATGACAATTTTATTTCAAGATATATTTATTCAGCCATTTGGATATAATATCGTTTATTTTCTCTTTCTCAAATTTATTAACATTTAAAATTAAATGAACGTTTAAAAATAAAAATCCGTATTTACATAACAATATTTTTTTTTGTTTAAATGAATGTCTCGGATAAAATGACCATTGGCACAAATATTATTATATACAAGCATTATAATAAGGGCATATTACTAATTGCTACAGTTATTCTTTAAGCCTGAAATAAGAACCAATGACTATATACAACAGTTTTATCACTAAGTTATAAATTAGAAATAATATAAATAAAAAACAAGGGCTCATATTCTGTTAAATAAGTGAATGTCTTTTAAGAGACCAATTAGGTTAGAGACTTGATCGGGTGAGTTTAAAACGTCTATAATATTTGACCTAAGTTTGTATTTCACATACAGAGAATACTCGATAAAAATGTGTTTCACGCTTAATACACTTAAGCAGATTTGGCAATTGGGCTTCGACTTGGACTTCATTAAATATAATATCAGATAAGTAATCATGTGTAAATCGGGTATGTCCAATTCTTAATCTTTGGATGACAGCTTGTCGAAAGTTCAGATTTTTGAACAGTCTGCGGGAATCATGTAACGTACCCTTTTAATTATCTTCCAGTGGATTTACCATGTATGATACTTTTGTTGCTTAAACATTTACTTGAGTCATTGATTATAAACCACCACCTAGATAGCTCACCTTGTGGTAACCGAAAGACGTATCAACAACTAGATGACGTTACTCGAAAACCGTATCGAGATTTCTCATTCTGTCTCTGACTTGCGAGGAGGTAGGAGTAGTGTCAGGGCCGAACTTATCATAGGTGTATTATCTGTGATAAGTCGCACATCCAATTCAATACCGCTACAACTGCAAATTTATAAATTTAACAGAAGAGGCAAATGAAATATGCGTGACGGGTTTTTATTCTCTACAGAAAAGATATTTTAAGAGAAGTAACTGAATTTTAGAATATTAGTAATTTAATAGCATACGAATTGATATGTTAAAAAAAAAGAAATATTTAACTGCTATAAATATTTGTAAGATATGGCGGTATTGCATTACATTTTTAAATTACTCAATATTCATAACTGCTACGATTATACACATTAACAATGAAAACCAGACAAAGTTACAAATTGTAGGTACTTTATTATATAAATTTAATAATTATAATTGTATATTTATTATAAATCACTTACAAGAAATTAACTCAACAAATTGAAATAAAATGATTGGTGTACTTTTGCAATAAGATTTTTTTTGCATAATTCCAGTAAATGCTCTTTTATTTTATCTCCTATAGTAGGAGGCTTTTAGTAGACTGGTTTTAAGTTATATTGCTCCAAAACATTATTTTTAGAAAAACGATGAGTAGAAAGATTAATAGTTTTATGGGCTGTATCGTCAAAGTTAGTTTTGTAAAAAACTTTTGTAGGAAAACACTTTTCTACTTTAAGAATTTGTATATTATTCCATACTACCTTCTCGTTATCCGAATTTTTGGTGAAATTTTACCCAAAAATTTTTGAAAGATCCTTAAAGTCAAAAAATTCTTCAGTGTCCATCTCATTCACTTTATAGGGTCTACTGTTTTTTTTTGGCAGCACTTATTAAACCTCTTTTTTCTACCTATGTCTTTTGTTTGTTAAAAAATATTAATTCTTCTCAAGAGTAATATATCTTTATATTTATAGCACTTTTATATAAATATGAACGTAGTTTTTAATTCTTCTCGACTTTTAATAATAAAATGTTTCGATATTGTCAATAATAAAAGTACAATACATACCTTGGTCATTGTTTTTACTGTATTATTATAATGATCTGTAAGATCATTAGCATAAACAGCCTATTTCTTGACATTTTTTTTTTAATTTTGAAAAAAAAAATGCTTTTTTTATATAACTTAAAATTTATTAGTGACACTAAAAATCACAAAGAGTAAAAAAATGTAGGTTTTGCTTTTCTGTATATTTTGGTCACAGTATGCTTACTTTTGATATTAGAAACTTAACAAAAATAAACCTTTTTAAACACTTTAAAAAAAGTTGTAATGATATTTCGTCGAAAAGTGCTTCATTTTTTATTTTGTCACGTTGAAATATTCAACATGAAATTTCACTCCCGAGAAGGCGTGATACTGAGCCACAGGACAAAAGTATAATCTTTTTTTCTTTGACATCTTAGCTATTCGTAAGCCAAATTTCATGTCAATCCAAGCGATTCTTTAAAATTAGGAAATAAGTTCTGTATATTATATAGTTTAAAATATTTTCTTCTTCTTCTTCATGTACCACGTTCTTTCAGAACGTTGGTTACCATCATAGCTATTTTAATTTTATTCACTGCCACCCTAAATAGCATGCTTGTATCATATCAATTCTGAAAATTAATTTGTTTGAAAAGTTAGAAAAAATTAATTTACGTGAGATGTAATTTATCGCTGCTAATTTTATTATGTATTTTGTTTTGTTAGTTTTTTTGTATTATATTGATAAATAAATAATTTTTAAAAAACCTTTACTGTTTTCATTAATAAATTTATAGCGGTTTTTCTGAAGTAAAATCGGAATTTCATAATATAGATTACATGCACGTTAAAATTCTTTGTGAAAATGCTGAATGCCATCCTTATATTGTCGTCTATTGCACTATCTATAAATGAGGGGAGTTTAACACTGAATTCGTTTTTACCTTAGAGTGAGGTATTTAGGTGGAGGTTTATAATCAATGTTACTACATACTAAAACCCTAAGTCCTTGGTAGGAATGGCTTTTGTTAAGGATGGACAAAAAGGTATACAGCTGAATATGCTTTAGTTAAAAAGTTAGAAATAAACAATGTGTTATTAAATTAAAGTACAGTTTACTTTCGATGTCAGGAACTTTGTGAAACTTTTTTAATAATTATTTTTTGATAGCTAAATGCTTCTAAAACTTTTTAAAGCATTTAGGGCATTTAGAATTATTAATAGCCAATTTCGATGCTGATTTATAAAGCGGTATATTCTCGTTCGAATCATTGATTTATCTCCATAAAAATATTCAGTAGTCGATATTTATTTGTAATTTTTAAGTACCATTAAAAGTATTTATTAATCCCTCAAACTATTGAATCCGTAGTGACCTAAATTCCTTTTCTGCATATTTTTTGTACATAGTTTTCGTTTTTTTTTATTGCAGGTCTAACTCATAATCTGTACGTATATAAAATTGCACCGCTCAATGAAAAAGCATGTCCTTTAAAACAGATATTGGTAAGTGAACCTATATCTACATTATTGTATTAAGAAATTATTGTATGATATAATTAGCTGTATATATATATATATATATATATATATATATATATATATATATAATTCTTTGGAGGGTAACTTTCGGGAAAGCGTCAAAGCAAGGATCAGCTAGAGATGGTATAAGCAAGTTTGGTGTAGAACTTTATTCTAAATGCGAAATTTTTGGTGATATGTTGTCACCTTCATCAGCACCTAAATGGAAAACCTATTTTAGTACAAGTGGTGGGAGTTAACATTTAAAACCTACATTGAAAATGTTCAGTTGGTCCTAGTGGTGAAGAACACTGTCACAAACATGTTAAAAATATTAAAAAATACATTTAAAATTTTGAATAAAAACATTACAACACAACAGGGTATTATTTCAAATACAAACACAACAAAAAATCTAAAAATTACAACCTACAAAAACTGCAACTTTATGTTAAAAGTAGAAAAGAAGAATTATTCTTCTTTTTTGATGACATATTTCTGATTTCTGTCAATATCCGGGTGTCATATGTAACGAGGTTATAATTTTCACGTTTGAACTTCATGGATATGGAAAGAAAGAACACAAGGAAACACTATCAGCAGGGAAATGAAGTCTTTTCTCAAGTACAGATAGGCAATCTATGCATGCTATGAAACTTATTATAGCATGCATAGATTGCCTACCTGTACTTGAGAAAAGACTTCATTTCCCTGCTGATAGTGTTTCCTTGGGTTCTTTCTTTCCATATCCATGAAGTTCAAACGTGAAAATTATAACCTCGACACCCGGATATTGACAGAAATCAGAAATATGTCATCAAAAAAGAAGAATAATTCTTCTTTTCTACCTTTAACATAAAGTTGCAGTTTTTGTAGGTTGTAATTTTTAGATTTTTTGTTGTGTTTGTATTTGAAATAATACCCTGTTGTGTTGTAATGTTTTTATTCAAAATTTTAAATGTATTTTTTAATATTTTTAACATGTTTGTGACAGTGTTCTTCACCACTAGGACCAACAGAACATTTTCAATGTAGGTTTCAAATGTTAACTCCCACCACTTGTACTAAAATAAGTTTTTCATTTAGGTGCTGATGAAGGTGACAACATATCACCGAAAATTTCGCATTTAGAATAAAGTTCTACACCAAACTGGCTTATACCATCTCTAGCTGATCCTTGCTTTGACGCTTTCCCGAAAGTTACCCTCCAAAGAATTGTATTCTTAGCGTCGTTATACAAACTCTATATATATTATATATATATATATATATATATATATATATATATATATTTATATACATATAATATATATATATATATATATATACGTCTTCATATCAAGGCGAGATCCGATTAAATCGAGGACAACCCGAGATCCACCAATAGGAAATTAATTAATGGAGTATATTGTTCATAACTATCTTTATAATTAACATATTAATCATGGCACACTTAGAGGGGAAAAGATTTTTGAACTTAAATTTTTTTGATAAATTTACAACAAAATGAGATCCGTAGCTGAAAAGGGAAGGGGAAGACTTATATACGAAATTTTAGATATTTACAGATCAACGCGAGATCAGACACTGTTGCCAGCTCTAAAGAGTATTAGTCGAGCGACCGGAGCTCGTGTTGTATTGCATATTTCCTACTCAAACAGTAAAGTAATTTGCGGTTATGGTGTTTTGTATTTTAAAAATATTGCAAGGGCAGCGGTCAGTTGAAGTAGTGAAACAAAATTCAAAGATAACAGAAGCTAAGTAATGATTATAATTTTTATGTATATTATTAAATAATTCAACATAAACTTTATAAACCGAATTACTAAAATGCTCTGTTTTATTGAATTTGTGAAATCTATTCTCAAAGCTATTTTTGTTTATTATTTATGTACAAAATTAAAAAGGGGAAATTATTTAAACTAAACAGTTTATCTGTACCTATAACAAAAGATATCATTTTAACATTCTAATCGTGTTTTAACATAAACATATTAGTTTTGTACAAGAGTAAATACAATTCCATACTGAAGAGTAAATAAGACTCTAAAAAGGCTTCTAGAATAGATTTTGGTGGGCACTTTGTTGCTAAAATGCAAAACCTATTTTTATTCGTTTCTAATATCTTTCTAATGCAAAATCACTTGGTCGTCCAAAAATCGTAGCGCGAGGAGAGTGGTGGAGAGCCTTACAAAAAAAATGCTAATTTGTTTTTCGTCATTTTTCGGATCTACGATATCCGAAAATTCATTCTTGAAATTTGCATATCGATCCGGACATTAGAAATATTTTTATTTTATTTATAAAAATACGTCAAACCATTGTTGTATACGGAGTGCCTTCATACAAAATGACTTAGAATGAGTCTGAAAACCCATATTTTTAAAATAGTTTCTCCTCGCTCTACCCCGAAAAATATTGGGTCTAGCAAAAAATGGCTTTCTATAAAAGTTATAGACCAAACATCACAGAACATGTCGGTTTGTTTAGAATGTCGATTGGATAAAATAGTTTAAAAAAAAATTAAATAAATTGAACGGCATGTCACGACGCACAGTGGCAAACGCAGAGATGCGAGGAAGGGCGAGATTCATAATCTGAAGTCAACCTTAAATCGACTCTAGTGATGGCGATGTTGTTAGGGTCGATTTTACATTGAAATTCTGTTGTGTTGTATATTCGATTGCGAAAGGGCATCATTGTGCATTATTTTTTACTAATAGCACGAAATCCACTGAGCTGAGATTTTTAATATTAGAAGTTTTAAATTATTTTAATGAACAGCAGCAGGTATGACAGTGAACTTGAGTCAAAAATCAGATTACGGCATGTTTCTTTCCGTAAAGTCCATTTCCATTTTAGTTTGCTGAAAGAAGCGGAAACTGGAGAATACATTTTTGTTCTAGTTTTAGAAAAATGTACCCCTATTTCTTTGCATTTGACCATGCGAACTATTCTTTTTGGGGAACATTATATTTGTTGGACATGTACAAACTTGCTGATAAGGCTCCAGAATTACATGAAGACTTTATGAGAAGAAATTTTGTTGTGAAAAGTTTGAACAGCAACTTTAACCAACTATTTGTAGATCCAGCTTGAAACATATAAATACAACTCAAAAGATGCAGGAGGAATCGTGGGATTGACTAAAACCAACACAAAACTAGACGAATGGTTGTTAAGCTACAATATGATTGGCATGATGGTAGATGAATTTCGTGCATCATGAGACTTAAGCAACCACTTAACTCAAAACGTAGAAAATAGAAAAAAAATAAACGGATGAAAATTAATGAATATTCTGTACAAAAACTACATGATCAGTTTTTTACGATTTAATGTATTTTTCAAAAGCGTAGATCGTCTTCTCGTAATTTCAGCTAATCAGATTGCATTGCCAAATATTCAAATACCCTTACTTAAATAAACAAAAAAAAATGGAGAAGAGTCTAGCAAAATTTCTTCTTACTGTTAGAGCTCCCAATTTTTATCAGCATACAAGAAGTACTTTCAACACTTCCAACACTATAAAACTGTCTCTGAAAAGAAAAAAATTATTCAAGCTGAGCAAGAGCTTTTACAAAAAATACTAACAACCAAGGCAATTGAAAGTAACATAAATATTATGAGAATATTTTCAAATATGAATTTACAGCACATCCAATGTCACTTGTACCTGTAAGAGTTTTATCGATACCATCAAATAAATCTGCCTTAGGTTCTATAATAGGACAGTTTACAGTTATGTCTAAATATCTACCATTACCATTATAAAGTAACAAAAGTGTCACATTCTTGAAGGTATGAGTTTAATCCAAGCCGTTGGCAAACCCTCCAACTGCAAATCATTTGGCGACTATGCAAGAATTTTAAAATCAATAGTGTTCAAGAACCTCTACAACCCTAAAAGGATTGGTTTTGTATTTGACCAGTACTAATAATCTTTGTACTGGTCCATATAAACATATAAACTTTCTCCTACTTCAAACAGTATAATATATAATATTCGTGTACATACTCATCCTCAAGGTATGAGTATGTAGCGTGACACCAAGATTTTGACTGCCGAATCTGTTGCTGCTAACTGGCTGGAGTAAAGAAAATGTAGAGATGGTAACAGTTTTAAGCACGGAATCCAAGTTGAAGAAACATGCATACATATACTATACTCCTAATAGGTGTAAAAGATTAGTTTATTTTTACCTTTTTGTGACGAATAATTATTATATTGGTTTTTTAAATTATCAGACTGTACGGGGGCTCAAATACTCGTGTAAACGGAAACGAGATCAAATTCATTGGTTCTTGTAAATATATTATGGCCCAAGTGAAATGTTACAAAAAAGGTGATAAACGTGAACAATTTTAACCATAGAGAGTGTTACTTCTTTTTATAGTAATGAAGAGTCTAACATAGAGTAAGATAACTAACACAAGATAATAATTAAGAAATAGGTACATAGATTTAATTGTTTTTATTACTATCCTTTGTTCTTGAACGTGAAATTTGCTGCCAGGGAAAAACCGTTGCAAATTTAGATGTTTTATATATCACAAGCTTTTGAACTTTAACGCAGTTACAACGTCCTTAATAAGCTTTATATAATACTAGATAATAATGTAAGAAAATTTTTGGGACAAACCCCGATGTACGAAGTCACCTAGGAATCGAACACAGAAAGAGTCCCACAGGTCAATCCTTTTGATAAGGTGGGTGTCTGGGATGAGTGAATTTTCCCCTACGAGGGAGTGCGAGCTGTATAGCTAAATTTGGATTTTCTTCAGTAAACGAATTTAAAGGAAATATGAAGTTAATTTGTTTATAAAGCTATAGCTCGTAAACTATTTGACGTACAGTGTCCAAGTTTAGCATAAATGAACTACATATATTGAAAAATATTCCCGTGGAATCTTAACATAGTACGTGAACAGCATAGTTGGTCCCTTAATTATAAATGATATGTAAAACATATTTGTATTTGTAA